CCGAGTGAGACTCCAACTCAAAAAAAAAAAAAAAGAAAGAAAACCTGGGTTGGAGGGTGACATGTGGTGAACTGGGAGCCCAGGCCATACAGTCTCTGCCTGGCCCAGGCCTCCCTCTGCCAGCTGGGACTTCCCTGGGCTTCCCTGCGAATGGACTGGTCCTCTGGAAGGGGCGGGAGTTGAAGGAGGTACCACCTGGGGAGGCAGCCTGGGCCTGATGTGGCTGCAGAGACTCAGCAAATGCCTGGTGGCGACAGGTCAGGACTGGGTCTAGGGCTCAGCTGGGAATGGGCATTAAAGACTGCAGGATGCAGTTGGGAAGGGCCCAGCCACTGGGAATGGGCGGCAGTGTAGACCAGGGGCCAGCAGACTTCTTCTGTTATGGGTCAGATAGTAAGTATTTTCAGCTCTGTGGGCCGTGCTGTTTTTTGTCACCACCACTCACCCTGCTGGGAAAGCAGCCCCAGACACTATGGAAGTCTCGGGGCACTGCCTGCATGCCAGTAAAACTCTCTCTGTGGACCCTGCAATGTAAATTTCATATAATCCTCACGAGTCATGAAATGCTCATCTTTTGGTGTTTTTCAACCAAGATAACATTTACAAATCACTCTTTGCTCCTGGCTATGTGAAGACAGGTAGAGGGCTGGCTCCAACCCATGGCATAATCTGCCAGCCTGTTTGTGGACTGTGGGATAGTGTCTTACCTTTAACCAGTAAGATCCTGAAAATGCAACCTGGCAGTTAGATGTCAGTAAAAATAGTGCATGATGTAATCAGATTCATAGATAATGAGCTCCTGATTGTCTCTGTAGCCCGAGTTGCAGGGCTCGGTTTGATGCTCTTGGCTTCTAACTGATAGCGTGTAAAGGCCGGAGCCGGGAGTTGGAACCCTGGCCACCTCTGACTGGGCCCTGGGAACTCTAGGCAGGTGGCTGAACTGCCCTGTTAAATGCAAACTGTCACTCCTGCCTGGTCAGGACAGTGGATGGAGAAGTGCTCAGGGTCTGTCACGTACATGCATCTTTCTACACTTGCTGTCCCTCCTTCTGTGTCTATTCCCTATTCTCTCCTGAGGTCAGATCATCACCTCTCATAGCCATGCAGAGTTCTGCTAATGACACCCACTTTCTGCTCGATCTTCCCCTTTCTGACCATCTGGTAGGATTCTTAGAAGCAGTTACCAAGCACTGGAGTCACTCCCTGTCTAATGCCACAGCTCAGTGCTGCTGGGCTGATCACAAAGAGCTGGCCTTGCCCACTGACACTTTGTTCACCCACTTAGGGTGCCCCAGGCAGCACTGGAATCTGTGGCCACCCGCTTTCTCCCTGTCCTTCACCCCACTGCCTCTCCATGGGCAAACCCTGCCCTCCTGACTCCCAGCCTCTCTGAACTCTATCACTTGTCACACCCCCTCCTGTAATCTTGGCCAAGGCCCCTCGTTTCACCTGGGCAACCTCAGAAACCACCCATGTGGGCCCCATTTCCATTATTAAGTGCCACAATCTGCTTGTAGCCAAGTAATCTCTTTAAAACATCAATCAGACCATGACTGAAATCTGCTTAAGACTCCCGATGGAGGGCGGTCCCTTGAGTCCCCAGCCCGGCACGCGCCACCCCTGCTGAGCTCTGAGACCTGCCCTGCCTCTGACCCCTTCCTCAGAAGGTCCCGGTCCTCAGTCTCTTGTCTGATCTAATGATGCGATTCAAGTGCTTTCCTGCTTCAGGGCCTTTGCACAAGCTTCTTCCTGGCCCGGAACTCTTGCCCTGGCCACGCTGCCTCCAGGACCGGCCCCTCAGAGCGGCAGTTCTCCGCCCCCGAAGCAGCCTCGCCTCGTCTCCCATTACCCTGTCACGGCATCCTGTTTGTGCTCTTTGTGTGTGTCACAGTCCGTGACGATCCGTGTACGTGTGTTCTTGCTATTGTCTGTCTCCCCTCACTGGGATGCAGCCAGCCCAATGAAGACCATGTCACTGCTCTGCCCTGGCACCTCCTGGCACCGTCACCAGCTCAAAGTGTTCTGGTAGAATCAGAGTCTTGGCCCCTTGGTGTGAGTGGCGGGGGGCGGAGAGAGACCAGGACCCCCAAGGCCTTGAGAGAGGTCCTGAGACTGCATCTCTTCCCTCAGGCTTGGGCTTTTTAATCTGATGCTGAATTTGAAGGTGTAAATATGATCCATTACACTGCGACCCTTTCACTAACTCCAGCTTTGCCCTGTGTCCCTGTTCACCTTCGTGAAACTGCACTGCCTGAGTGGCAGCTTGGGACACGGAGGGCCAGCCAGGTGGGGCCGCCTCCAGGAGGCAGCTGCCTCTCAGCACCCTCTGCCCTGTGCTTGGAGTGTGCTAAACAGCTGCGGGCTTTTGTGCTCGTTTTATGTCTAGAAATTGGGCCTGAATGTCTCCGTCACAGTTCCAGGGGCAGAAGCTGCACTAAGGGTGCTGCTGAGTCACTCGGTTTGGAGAGAAATTCCCCATTTTTTGTTCCCAATAGAGCGACCGCCTTCTGATCAAAGGTGGGAAGATTGTGAATGATGACCAGTCCTTTTACGCTGATGTGTATGTGGAAGATGGCTTGATAAAGTAAGTTTCTGCCAAAGATGTGTTCATAGATCACGTGTGCACACACTGATTACGTGGTAGCCAGGTGGTTTACTTTTGGGTGGAATCCATGTCAATGCTTTCTTCTTTTCCAGACCTTGCTCCCTGGAAACAGTAATGTGGTGACCACTGACAGAGCCCACGCCGTCAGTTAGTCATAAGGTTGAAAGCAGGACACCCACTTGTGCACTTGTTCCTGTCATCTCAGCATTTAGTGGGGGTGCCTGGCTGGCAGCAGGTGCTTAACAAATGCTTCCTGGCCACACCTGTGTCTCTGCTTCTGTCAAGCCGTTCTACCACCTTGTCAATAAGGAAGCAAGTAGAAACTTTAGTGGAAAATCAGAGAGAGTGATGTTTACACAACTTTGGAGGTTCTGTGGTGACTGTCTTAAGCCACTTCATGGGATGTTTTGCTGTCTGACATTATGGAGACACGGGTCCAATAAGTGGTCAGCCCATGTTGCCTTTTCCTCAAGGACCGGAGGCCACACGAATTCTTCCCAGCTCTGCCACATTGCTTTGGAGCCTGTTCAGGTCTAATCTGGCTCTCTGTGCCCAGTGAAATATCTTCTTGTTGCTTTCAGACAAATTGGAGAAAATCTCATCGTTCCTGGGGGCATCAAGACTATCGATGCCCATGGTCTGATGGTCCTGCCAGGTGGAGTGGATGTCCACACAAGGCTGCAGATGCCTGTCCTGGGCATGAACCCAGCTGATGATTTCTGTCAGGGCACCAAAGCCGCCCTAGCAGGAGGGACCACCATGATTCGTGAGTGTCTGGGTCTCCACCTCTCCCGGGGGCGGGCAGCTTGTGATGCGTTCCTTGGTCCTCTGGCCAGGTTTATGTGTGCAAGGAGGAGTGCCCCGTAATGGCATCTTTCTTAGTTCGGTCTTCTTTTCCTGTCTCTCCATCTGAGAAACCCTATAGTGCCCTTTTGCTCTTGCTGTTTCTCATCCTGGGTCATTTCACCTTGGTCAACTCGGGGCTGCTCCTGGGATTTCCAGGAAACAAAAGGATGTGTGTCCAGTTATTATTTCCTGGGGATTAGTAGCCAGTCCAGAACTGGGGTTTGGAAAATTCAGATACCTTGGATGAGGGGAGAGGTCCTGTTGTCTGAAATACCACACATAGGTTTGACCCCAAGCCTCATGCCTCTGATGCTTATGTCAGGAAGAGTTGAGGACGGAGGCTGTGTTTTTAGGAAAAGGGTAAAAGGAATGCTCACTATTAGCCCATCCAAAATGACCAGAGTTACCATTTTTGTAGCTGGCGGCTCCATCCTGATACCCTTTGGCTACACGCTCGCCTCCTAAAACCTTCTGAGCTCAGCAGGGAGGCCCAGTGTAGCAAGCTGGTGAGGTGGGTTCACTGGCCCACCGTGAACTTTTGTGGTAAGCTCAGAGCCAAAGCCTGGCCCCTTCCTGCACTGCATGGCCTTGCATGCCATCAACTAAGCCATGCCTGATGCAGACTTTTCTGCTGTGACTAAGAACTGGTCTAGTGAACCTGGTTGAACCCGGCTCTACCGTTTCTAGCTGTGTAACTACAGGTAACTCAGCTGACTTTCATTCGTTGCACTTTGCTGATCTAGAAAACAGGAGGGTGCTCTCCTTATAAGCTTGTGTGGATTAAGCGAATTAATGCACATAAACTGCTTTGTGGGCCCTGCACGCTGGGAAAAGCAACTCTAAACAGTGACATTTAGTCATTCCCAAAACCACCACTTGGTTTGGTTCATTCAGTCCAAAAGGAGGAAAAACCAATAACAGCCCACCTTGTAATCTCACTAAGGAGACTGGCAACTGCTCAAGTCCTTCATGGGGGCAGCCCAGGCAGGCCAGGACATTGCGTTGTTGATGTCACCTGCCTCATCCCAGTGCAGAGGCATCCGATGAGCTGTGTGGGTCTCTGTGTGGACGGAGAAACGCTGCAGACGTGATGCTGACCTCTGTCCCGCCTCTGTTTTCCCCTGCTGGCTGACCCAGGCAGGCACTGTGAGCTGCTGGAGGAGGAGTGGGTACCCATGTGCTCGGGGGCTGGTTTGTGACCTGAGTGATGGGACATGTAGAAGCCTGGGGGGAGGGTGTGCCGGATGAAGGCAACCCTGGTGGGCACGCCTTCCTGTTGATCCACCCCACTTGCAATTCTTTATCAGCTGTGCCCGGGAGAGGCCAGTGAGCAGTGTGTGGGCCTTGGACATGCAGTTGGCCGGGTGACAGCACGATGGCTGAATGCAGGAAGCGGGATGGCGCTGTTCGTGGCTTGTGAGCAGCCAGCCCAGCGCCTGCCGTTCTGCAGAAGTACAGAGAGGCAGAGCCCAGCACCTCGGACAGCGCACGGCTCCTGCCGGTCCCGTGGGTGCCTCCCTGGGCTGAGCCGGTGCCAGAGGCTGGGAAAAGCCCTGCTGCCCTCGCCGTCCTTGGGGTGTGGCATGAGTGGGATGATTTGAACTGGTGTTCTTCTCTCCTCCGAGAGAGGCCAGGGGACGTGGGACAGAGAGTCCTCTTTGAACAAAGCCACAGAGCTGAGGTTCATGGCAGCCTCAGCCCCTCTCAGGGGCCCGTGTGGCCCCTCCTGTGTCTTCCTCAAATGGTTCTCTGGTCTCTTGGGAATGTGAAACTAAACCTCCCCTGGAGGCATCGGTGGAACCCCATCACCCGTGGGAGGGTCTGCTGACTCTGCTGTCCCCACAGTGGACCACGTGTTCCCTGACACGGGTGTGAGCCTGCTGGCAGCCTACGAGCAGTGGCGGGAACAAGCAGACAGCGCGGCCTGCTGTGACTACTCCCTGCACGTGGACATCCCCCGCTGGCACGAGAGCATCAAGGAGGAGCTGGAGGCCCTGGTCAAGGACAAGGGTGAGGGTTGCTGGAAAGCCCGGCTGCTCACCTGCATGCTGGGCAGAAGGGGTCCCTGCCCTGACCCTGTGTCCTGCTGACACCATGCTGCCCTGACCCCAAGGGCAGGTGTCTAGGTATTGAGGAGAGGTTGGACAGGAGTCATTCGAAGGCCTACCCACTGTCAGAGGATCTAGACTGAGGCCTTCTCTGTCCCTGTCTAAGAGACATGTCCTGCGATTGTCCTCCCTACAAAAGGATGGAGCAATCACGCTGTCAGTGGGTTCCCCTTGGTTCTTGGAAAAGGGACTCTCTCCCACCTCCCGCCAGAGAAAAGGGAAAGTAGCTACCCATTTTCGTAGTATTTTAGGATCCTTTTAGAAGGAGGATGTTTTAAAACCTGTATTTCTCTATTGGCACCTCTGCTGAAACAGACCAGTCTTTAAATAGGTTTAATTTCTTTCCCCATAAAAAGCCTCGAATCTAAAACCACATCAGAGTTTCATCATGGGTTTGACAAAAGTCATAACAGATCGTAACTGATCTCTCATAATCGCATGTGGCCCATAGCTTACAGCCTGGAGCCAGGGCAGGGCAGGGTCAGAGCACTGAGGTGCTGGCAGGTCCAAGAGGTCTCCAGGCCCTGGCACTCCCAGGAGACACCTGCTGCCCACCCATGACCAACTAGCAGGAGGTGAAGGGACTTCTTGAAGACTGATCCTTTGGGTTCCCATTTCCCAGGAGGGACAGTCATCACAAGAGTGTCCTTTGGTACTCAGGACCCCCCCACATACCCTTGGTGGCGGGCTGGTGGGAGGACCCCTCACCTCCCTGCCTGGGGGCTGGTGGGGGCCGTTGACATTCAGTCCCTGGGCGGCACTTCCAGGCAGCAGTTCTGCTTCCTGTGCCGTTCTGTAACCGGACTCTGGAGTCCTACAGCCTTGGCTCAGAGTGGAGTGGAAGCTGGGTCCTGCACCTTTCCTCACCCTGTCGAGGCAGTGCTGGGCTGGGACCTCTGCTCCCCACAGAACCAGGCAGGGGTCCTGTGCCTGCTGGAGGGTACTGCAGGGACAAGGCCACCTCCCAGCCATCACCTCTGTCAGGTACTGTGGAGACGGCCCCAGAGGCCCAGTCATGTGTAGAGGTCTCCTGAGATGGCTCATGCAGCAGAAGGTGACCCAGTTTCCCCACATTAGCTTGTCACATTAGCCCTTTTGACCCAGTGAGGAGGGACTGTGGGCTGGGTGGGTTTGAATGGTGGGAGACTAAGGCACGGCCTTCAGTCCCAAGTTGATCCCTACACAGACCCTGAATCCCAGGGAGGTAGCTCTGGCTGCCCCTGAAACGGGAGAGCTCCACCTTCCTCCTGATTGGACTCCTATGCCACGGGCAGCCAGACCCCAGTTCTCCTGCCTGTCCCAAGAGCCCAGCCCTGAAATCTGCTTGCCTTCGGCATCCCACTGGAGAGAGCAGGTGGAAGAACTCAAGCCAGCAGCTCAGGCACAGTGACTCTGTCCCTCCCAGAGTGACTCTGTCCCTCCCAGACTGTTAGACAGGGGTGAGGGGGCTTCCACCTGCATCTGCTGCTGGGCAAACAGTTGGTTCTGAACCAAGAGCATGAGAAGCAGGCAAGGAGGGGCCAGGGTGTGGCTGACCCGTCCCCACTTCCCAGCTCATTGGCATGTGTGTGTGTGGGAAGGAGGAAGGTGTGCTCATGAGTCTGGCAGGAACACCCAATGACACACCGTGGGTGAGGGGCCCCAGATCCTAGCCCCTCTGGAGAGTAGGGCACAGTGGAGATGCCCTGGGTTGTCTGACGTGTGATGGCAGAGCTGTCTGACCCCCTCCTGTCTCTTCTCCAGGTGTGAACTCCTTCCTGGTCTTCATGATGTACAAGGACAGGTACCAGTGCACCGATGGCCAGGTAAGCGCAGGTGCAGAGAGAAGGGAGCAGGCAAGTGTCTTAGGCCACGGCCAGAGCAGCCTGACACAGGAGCCCTGTCTGTGTCTCTTCTCAGATGTACGAGATCTTCAGCATCATCCGGGACCTGGGGGCCTTGGCCCAGGTGCACGCGGAGAACGGTGACATCGTGGAGGAGGTGCTGCAGGGGTGAGGGCGGGTGGGATGAGGGCTGAGAGTGACCTCAGTGATACCCAGATGTGAGCACTTAATTCTACAAAACCTTGAGGGAGGGAATAGTAAGTATATCATGGCAGCTTACTCAGTCAGGGTCAGATGTCAAACCACCAGTGAGTTAGGGAGCCAGGGGCCTTTAGGGCTCTAATACAAGCTTTTCCTTGATCATACTTCTAAAAATACCCTCAAGCCAAAATGTTGCTGGGGGACACAAGACCGGGGGTTTCTCAGCACCCCATTTCAGCCCTGGGTATCAAGACTCACCCCCCCAACCCCCGGCTGCCACCATCAGGAGCTGGGTCGTTGTTTTCCACCCAACCATGAGCAAACCTTGCGGATTTGGGACCATGTCCTTCCCACACATGCCACTGGGCATGGAGATGGCCTGAGCCTGCTCACACCAGTGCTGACCCTCAGGCCATGGGGGCTGTGGAGTGGGATGGCTCCCAAACCCCAGGCCCAGCACCTTGTTTCCTTCTTTGGCTCAGGCACCTACAGCTGAGGCTCAGCGAGCACAGGCCACCTCTACGTCCTGGACCTCAGTGGAGGTCACCACACACCAGACGCGTCCCTGAGAGTATAGACCCACAGACAGGCTTCCCGGGACAGGTTGTGCCCTGCCCTGCTCCCAGACTCCACAGGAAGGTGGTAACCCTCAGGCAGGAGCACATGGGGGCCCCTGGCTTCCTCATCTACCCATACAGCTGCAAGGGCATCAGGGCGCCATGGACATATCTGTGGCCTAAGGCCGAGCCCCAGGTGGACCAACAGGAGGACTTTGTGGGTCAAGGAGGTACTCAGTATGCCGGCAGGAGGGAGAGCCCACCAGTAGGGGAGCCTCATTACTGGGGTCTGCTTCTCCTGCATTCTTCAAGCCAAAACTGGCATCCGTCTTCCCTACCGAAAGAAGGGTGCTGCTGGTGGAAAGTGCTCTTATCCTCCGTGACTCTGCAGAGCCCTCTTCCCCCAGGGCATGCCCCCAAACAGGCACCCACTGGGGGACGCGATGGGAAGGATACAGCAGTGGGGTAGAATTCTGGCCTTTCAGTTGCAAGCCCTGTGGCCTTGGGCAAGCCCCCTTCCCCTGTCCAAGCCCATCCCCTCCTTTGTAACATAGGGAGCAGGAACCATGCGTTTCCCAAGCCCACACCTTCCTCCCCCATGCTGAGTTCTGTGTGGCTGATTGATTCTGTGGCCCAGCACTCTGCTTGTGGAGCAGGGCCTCCTGGTCATGGACTTGGTGTCCAGGGCTCAGACTTCCCTCAGGCTAGAGCGAGGCACCTGTCGGTTTGTTTAGGAGCAGAAGCGGCTGCTGGAGCTCGGCATCACCGGCCCTGAGGGCCACGTGCTCAGCCACCCCGAGGAGGTAAGAGTCTGTGCCTGCCAAGGGCACCGCAGGAACACCCAGGGCAGACCTCACCCCCATGCTCTCGCCGCCTGGGACTGGGTTGACCTCGGCCCTGGCTCTGAGGCCCAGGCTGGGCTGTGCTCATCCTGTCCTCATCTGGGAGGCAAGAATAAGCAAACAGACCCTGCCCCTTGTAGGCGTGTGTCCCCCAGGACCCCTTGGTCCCCCTGTAGTCTTTAGCCAAGGCCCCGAAGGTGGTTTGGGCAGGGCCTGGGGACTGCATGGGTCCACCAGATCCTAGGCACGCAGGATCTGGCATGTTGCTCGTGTAACAGGGGTGCTGCCCTGGGCCTGGAGTCCCATAGGTAACCCATGGGCATCCCTGCACCCACACTGTTCAGGAGCCCCAGGGCCCTTGCATGGCCTGAGCCCTTTCCCATCCCCAGGTGGAGGCTGAGGCTGTACATCGAGCCATCACCATCGCCAAGCAGGCCAACTGCCCGCTGTACGTGACCAAAGTGATGGGCAAGGGGGCAGCGGACGTGATCGCCCAGGCCAAGCGCAGAGGTGATTGCCTAGCCCTGCCCGATACCCGGGAAGGCCGCGCTCAGCCTCCTGGGAGCTGGCAGCTCGAAGCAGGACAGCGCTGTGGCTGTGCCTGCCCTCTTTGTGGCATGCAGACAGGCCCGGATGGTGCCTCACTCTGGTTCACAGGTCGCCTGTGGCCCAGCTAGGGCGCTGGCTGGCCTGACACCTGGGTGGGGATGTGGGTGTAGAGAGGACCTCTAGTCAGACGCTCAGACCCCTTGCTCCCAAGGGAACCCCAGAACCAACCGTGTCTGCCAGACTGAGGCCTCTGCCCTGCCCTGCCTTCCACTCAGGCAGCCAGATTCGGGATAAGCTGTCACAGACCAGGGAAGAGGGGCAGTCAGGAGTCAGGGGTGTGAGCAGCAGCATTGCCAAGGCCTGCGCTGTGCTAAGGCCCCTGGTGGGGGTGCTGGTGGCAGGTGGGACGCCTCTCATGGGCCTCACGATGCAGGGGTGGTCGTGTTTGGGGAGCCTATCACCGCCAGCCTGGGCACCGACGGCTCACACTACTGGAGCAAGAACTGGGCGAAGGCTGCAGCCTTTGTCACGTCGCCCCCCGTCAACCCAGACCCCACCACAGCAGACCACCTCACCTGCCTGCTTTCCAGGTAAGCAGACATTCCAGGTGGGCCCAGGTTGCTCTACATGCTCCACGCCCTGCGGTGGTCTCCACCTGCTGGGAGACGACAGCACCTCAGGTCTCTTCCACGGAAACCCCGGCACCCACTGGGGGGCCTGGGCGTAGGGCGTGGTGCAGAGTTCCTCATGGGAGCCAGCTTCCCCCACCACACTGGGCCTCATGGTGTAGTCCTTGCTCCGCCCCGCCCTGCACTGGGGTCCCAGCCCTTCTCAGTGTGAGCCTCTCAGTGTGACCACTGGCCTCTGTGGCTGTGCTGGCAGAGCACAACTGGAGCTGATCCAGCCTTTGCCGGCTTAGGAAGGCCAGGGCTCCCGGACTCCCCTGACCTCAGCTTGTTTCCAGTGGGGACCTCCAGGTGACAGGCAGCGCCCACTGTACCTTCACCACTGCCCAGAAGGCCGTCGGCAAAGACAACTTCACGCTGATCCCCGAGGGTACCAATGGCATCGAGGAGCGCATGTCTGTGGTCTGGGAGAAGTGCGTGGTGAGTACAAGCCTGGTAAGGGTACACAGTCCACCAGGAGGGGCTGACAGGGGAGTTCCGCCAAAAGGAGGCCTCTGTCCCAGTAAATGCCCATAAAACAGAGGTTGGTGTGGACGGCCCTTGAGGTGTCATATCCCCACCCAGACACAGCCCTACCATCCCGGGCTCCTCAGACATCTGATTCTGGTCCCCGACTGCCCCATAACTGACTTCAGCAGCTACAGGAGCAGCTGCCACCCTCCCCACAGATTCTGATATTAAGAATGCATTTGCTGGCCGGGCTCAGTGGCTCGGCCTGTAATCCCGCGCTTTGGGAAGGCGAGGTGAGTGGATTGCCTGAGCCCGCGGGTTCGAGACCCACCTGGGCAACTTGGCGAGACCTCATCTCTACAATAAAGTAAAAAATTAGCCGGGTGTGGTAGCATGTGCCTGCAGTTCCTGCTACTCGGAAGGCTGAGGCGGAAGGATCGCCGGAGCCCAGCAGGTCGAGGCTGCGGTGGCCGGGAGCGGCCACTGCACTCCAGTCTGGGCGACAGAGTGAGACTCCAACTCAAAAAAAAAAAAAAAAAAAAAAAAGAATGTATTTGCACACACAGGTTAGTGAGAGCAGGTTCCCTGCCCCTGATAGAATTACACCCTGCGATGTTAGCGGTCTCTCTGGAAGCCTGAGATTTCCTCAGGCCTCTATCTTCTTGCCCTGCTCCGTTCTCTGCTGCCCTTCCCAATGCCCTCACCTACCCCTGTGGCTGCCTCTGCCTCCCCAGGCCTCCCGGGCTCGCCAGAAAGACTGTTACGTCCTTCAGGGGACACAGATGTTGTCATTGAAGCGTCACCATTTACTCACAAAGTGAACACAGAGTAGGCGTTGTCCACTGGAAGGCTCAGACCCGTTGGCTTGACTGAGATGGACCGTCGATTCGCGTGGGCACTGGCACCTCCCCTGGGGCCGGGTGTTGGTGCCCTGTGGGCGTTGCCATGGCAAGGGCCGTGGTTGGAGCCCCCTCCTGCTCCTCACTGTCTGGCGGCACCCTCATGACCATCTGCACTGAAAGCCTAGTGACTCTGTGACCGGCCGCACGAAAGCCCCAGAGTGGCTCCACCCATCCCCCACTCATCTCAGCTTTCTTGCTCCCCAGGCCTCTGGGAAAATGGATGAGAATGAGTTCGTCGCAGTAACTAGCACAAACGCTGCCAAAATCTTCAATTTCTACCCGAGAAAGGGGCGAGTGGCTGTGGGCTCGGATGCTGACCTGGTCATATGGAACCCCAAGGCCACCAAGATCATCTCTGCCAAGAGCCATAATCTGGTAAGAGAAGCCCGGCTGTAAGTCAGGGTCCGGTCGTGACAGGCAGGGGGCAGGAGGGAGCAGGCAGTCAGGGCCACTTCTGGTCAGAGAAGCCTGGCTCTCAGACAGGGTCAGGCCGTAGCAGTGGCGAGCACCCTCCTGTGGCCGTCCCTTCTCTTTTGTGGCCATCGCTGTGGTTGCCCCTGATCATCCATGTCTGACAACACGCCGGGTGTGTCTGCCCAGGCCACCTGGTGCTTCACACATGCACACGCCCGCACCCCACTCAGGAGAGTTCTGGCATGTTCCCCTCCTTTCCCCTGTCCCACGTGGCTCTTACTCAGAAAGAGCAGCAGCCTTGGGTGTCCCGGGTGACGTCTGCCCAGCTCGTCCAGGGCCAGGCACATCCTCTCCCAGCTGCCTCAGGAGAGATGTGGCTGCGACGTCTGTGATCCCACCGCACAGATGACATGGAGGCAGAGCAGTGCCATGTCCCTGCCCAGTCGGGGCAGAAGGGATCCCCACTGCCAGCTCATTTCTGTCCCCTTTGGCCTCGTGAGAAACACGGGACCCAGGGACAGACTCTGTAGATTGAGGCGCCAGGCTCTTCTGAACTCTGGACCCCCAAGTCGCCGCAGCTTGGTGGGGTGCTCAGCACAGACAGTCCAGGCCTCCTCTTGCTGGGAGGCCCTCGGAGTATTCAGGTGGCCGAACAGGGACAGGGCTGAAGGGCGCAAGCGTGGGGTGCCGGACCCTGAGCCTCTGTCCCCAGAACGTGGAGTACAACATCTTTGAAGGAGTTGAGTGCCGGGGAACCCCTGCAGTGGTCATAAGCCAGGGCCGAGTGGTGCTGGAGGACGGGACCATGTTCGTCACCCCAGGGGCCGGCCGCTTCATTCCTCGGAAGACGTTCCCAGACTTTGTCTACAAGAGGATAAGGGCTCGCAACAGGGTAAGGGGGTGCCCCGCACGCAGGCCCTCGCGTGTGCGGGCGGGGGAGCTCTCGGACCAGCGGGCGGGGAGCTTCTCCGTGTTCATGTGGTTTCACCTCCTGGTCAGCCTGGCCTGGCGCCCCGAGTGGTCAGGAAGGCAGAGTGGGCCATCGCTCATGCAAGCCCCCGCCAGGTGTGAAGACCAGGGCCTCCTTGGGGGAGGTTGGCGCGGAAGGCCCTGCAGAATTCCAGGCCAAGGTCAGCTCTGCCAATGCGCTTCTGAACAGTGGCTTTAGGTGTTTTGTGTCCCAGAGAATCCCCACGTGTTACAGATGATATGGACATAAAAGCAGCAAAAAATCCCTAGTCACCGCCTCCCCAGGTAAACCACCAGTCAACCGTCAGTGTAGACCCTTCCAGGATTTCCCCATGAATAGACACACACACCAGTAGAGACTGGGACAGCGGGCTTGTGTGAACGTTGCAGTGTGAGCACCCTCCCATGTCCTTCCCTTCTCTTCTGTGGCCACTGCCATGGTTGTCCCTGATCATGTGTGTCTGACAGCATGCCAAGTGTGTCTGCCCAGGGTTGCCTGGTGCTTCACACGTGCACACACCCACACACCACCTACACAGGCACGACACACATATACACACAGAAGCACATGTGTGCACACACAATGGCCATGCATTCTGGTTTATGTTATCTGAGCTCTGCTTCAGGTTTTCTGGAAGGCCGTTGTCTGACCTCGATGAAGGAAGGATGGCGTTCAGGACAGGCTGGGGCGGGTCCCCTGGTGCGGGGCAAAGTGCTGGCTTCCTCCCTCTGGAAAGAGCGTGGCGTCTGCACTAACTTGCAGAGACACAGCTGTCATTGATCAGCTGACCTTAGAAGGACGCCCCGCCCACCAGAGTGAGTGAGCTGAGAGGCAAGATCCAGGCCTAGAGCACACAGTGAGGCCCGAGTGCCACCCTCACCCCCTCCCTGAGGGGTGGGGGCACAGTGGGTCATCCCACGGGAGCCTGCAGACCAGTCCTTTCACAGCCAAGGGGAAGGAGGTGAGAGAGGCTGGCTCTCAGCCACATGCTGGGCAGGGTGGGGCTGCATTCAGACATGTCCGAGTCCCCGGACTTGATATGTCCCCGTCCAGGGCAGGATCCGGTCAGAGCCCCTCAGCGCTGGACTGGGGCCGGCAGTCACGGCTCTAACCTGGATCCTGAGGGAGCAGGACTTGAGTGCGTGTGGGGTGGGCCCACACAGGGAGCCCCAAGTTTCCGAGCCCGGCACCGGGAGGGAGGGTGCAGAGCCGAGCGGCCCAGCCCCTTATGCCCAGCCCCCTGCCCATCAGCTGGCGGAGATTCACGGTGTGCCCCGCGGGCTCTACGACGGGCCGGTCCACGAGGTGATGGTGCCCGCCAAGCCGGGGAGCAGTGGCCAGTCCCGCGTGTCCTGCCCTGGCAAGATCTCAGTCCCACCCGTGCGCAACCTGCACCAGTCGGGATTCAGCCTGTCTGGTGAGTGGAGCCGGGGGCTGGGGCCCTGCTGGAGCGTCCTGAGGGACGGGAAGCTCCTCCCTGGGCGGGGGGCTCGGGGCTTCAGATACCAGCGCTACACAGGCAAGGCGGCCTCGGGGCTAGGGGCTCTGGACAGCCAGCTGGGGACTGAGGGCGGTGGGAGGCCCGGCCCCTGTGAGAGGCCTTGTGAGGGGCTGAGGGGTGTCACCCTAGCTGGGGAGGCTCCTGCCCTGGTGTCTGCCCCACAGCAGCTGTGATGAATCCCCACCTCGAAGCAAACAGTCGGGGTGGGAGCTGTCATGGTGCGCCCTGGGGCAGCCTCCAGGGGAGGTGAGGGGTCCTCTGGGAATCCAGCCCCCCACCAGCTAGCCCCGGAACTGAGAGGCGTAAGGAGGGCCCCGAGCTACCTCCCTGGGCACTCAGGGACACGCAGGAACACTTGGAAGGCTTCCAGCGGCCTGTGGTGCCGGCCACTGGGATCCAGCCTCTGGAGGCTCTGGTGCTCCAGGCGCGTCCTCCCCACTCCGGGAAGCCAAGGCAGGCCCTGCTTGCCTCCTGGGGACTCAGGACGCAGGGGAGGTCTCTGAGAATCCAGCACCATCTGGGAAGCCGGGGCAGCCTTGTCCCTTCACCCCGGGCCTGCAGCTGGGACAAGCGGGACTGGCCTGGCCTGGGCTCCTCTTGGGACCAGACAGGCTTCCTATAAGGTCGGCCTGGAGCTCCCGGTCCCTTCCGCGTGCCCGAGGCCTCAGCATTGGCAGTGCCTGCCGGGCGCCCAGTTCACCGGCTGCCAGACGCGCAGCCGGACAGGAGCGCCGCAGTCCTAGCCTCACGGCTGCAGCCCTCCAGCTGGCTTCGCCCTCTTGGGCAGAAAGGACCCGCCCCACCCTCATGCTCCTTCTCTCACCCACCCTGGCCTTGCCTCAGGCTCTCAGGCGGACGACCACATCGCCAGACGCACCGCCCAGAAGATCATGGCGCCCCCTGGCGGGCGCTCCAACATCACCTCTCTTTCCTAGACCTCCAGGACTTGGGATCCAGCAAGTCGCGCCGTCCCCACCCGGCAGATGGCCACGGGGACCGCCCGCCTCCATTAGCTTTTTCCTTTGTAGACGTTATTTAAAGGGTGCTCGGCCTTGCCTTCCCCTCCCCCACAGCTCTCCTCTTGGGGTCCCAGGTCCTGCTGCGAGGAGATCCCTTGACAGAGGGCTGAATCTGGGGCGATTTCACTGCCAGGGTGAGGAGACGCCATGGAACAGGGACAGTCCGGGGGGCCCCGAGCCCGGGTGCCTGGTCCACCTTGGTGTGGAGGCAAGGCTGGCTCCCCCTAGGCTATGGGCACCCCCGGGGCTTCATAGAGGGCACGGGAAAAGCTGGATGCCAGGCTTCGAGTTTGGAACCCGAGAGGGTCCAGGTGCTGCCGGGTGGGTGTTGGCTGCCTTCTCCCCATTACTAGTCACTGCCTCGAGGAAGCCCCGCTCCCCAGTGCTGAGACACAGCCTCCTCGGAGGCCCGGCCCCCGTCGGCCTTCAGGGAGGAGGCTGCGAGCAGAGCCCTCCTGCCCCACAGAGCTGCTGAGACTTCAGGGATCCATCAGTAACTTGGTGTAGTGCAGCTCCCTGTCCACATGTCCAAGGGCCAAACCTAAGCTTTCTTCGTAGCCCTCCTCCGGGGAGGTCTTGCAACTCTTTAGCCAATACACTCTCCTTTTATTACAGAATGTGTATTTCCATAGGCTGCTTAGATGAACAGTTTTGTACAGTGAGGACGCCTGTAGCCAGGAACTTGTGCATGCCACCCAGCACCTAGACAGGGGCAGTCGTCCCGAGTTTCAAGTGAATTGGGTCAATTAAAGGTGTCTGGGCTAGAAGCCGCCTGTGTGTGGACAGCCGTATCTTCTCTACCCATGGGCTGCAGCCCTGCCGCCCTGCCCTGGCTTGAGCCAGCTCTGGGGCTGCTGGGCCCGGCAGCGCTGGGAGGTGGCCCTGAGCGGGGCTGGTCTGAATAGTGAGGAGGGGCCTCGTCCTCTCACAGGGAAGGCAACTCCAGGCAGCAGAGAGCTAGGAGTCAGAGGGAGGACCCCTCACCTCGCACACATCCTGACTGCTTGGCCCCAAAAGGCTGAAGGCCGTGGGGTGCGTGGGGAGCACGTGGAACCAGGGTGCCAGCCTGCTGCCACGTGAGGCGGACACGGCTCACAGACACCATGGCCAGGCCCGGCACTGAAGGCAAAGCAGCTGCAGAGCTCTGGTCCAGAACCTTCTAGAAGTTACAACAGTTGGCCTCTTGGCCTCAGCCTCTTTCTCGCAAAAATGGCCCCAGTTCTGTACTGCAGTTGGGAGTGTTTCCAGAGGGGTGTCCTTACCCCAAGGGCAGGGCCTGGCCACAGTCACTGGACACTGTTGGCAAGAGATGAGTGGGGCTGATGACAGACCCCACACCTCACCCCGCCCGGCTCCCGCCCAGGCGCCGATTCCTCACGACCTAAGAGCACTCCCCGCTGTTGTCTCTGAGGCCTCAGGTGGACCCAACTTTGAATCTGGGCTTCTCAGAAAGCTGTGTTGGTCCCGGGCGACTGCCCTGGAGAAAGCCCTTCCAGGTGGTCCCACTGCCTTTCTCCTGGGCTCTGGCCCACATGTATTTGGTGGGTGTGGCCTTGGAGCTGGACTCCTAGGGTTACCCAGGGCTGATGTCCCCTGTGCCAATGTCCCCTGCGCTCCCCCAGATGAGGGGGGGTGATCAGGAGAACGAGATGACACCCACATCCATCCTGCCAATGTTTTGAGGGACAAGCACGTCATTCTCCTGGGGTCTCCAACATGCATTTATTCAAGTCCCCAAACCTCTCCTCCCGTGCCTGCCTCTGACACCACAGGTGTCCACCTCCAGGTCCTTGCTGGAGCCGGGCCGCCCCTCCCTCCCCATGCCCACACCACGCTGAGCTTCTGCAGGCCAGGCCTCCCTGAGGGTCTGAAGGCTAACTGCCGCCAGGGCAGGGGTGGGAGGAGTGACGGTCAGCTGTGTCCTCTGCCCTGGAGCTGTGCTCACTGCTCCTTGCACAGTTCCTCCCCAGTCTGGTCGCTTGGGACCCCCGTCATCTCACAGCCTGGCCGGAGAGAGGAGGACGACGTCTGTCGGCAGGGGTGGAGGAAGCGGGGCTCACAGACACAGGCCCGGACAGGCCTGCGTCGTGCCTGGGAGGGGCACAGACACGACACACTCATTCCTCCAAAGCAAGCTGCACAGGCCTGGGTGGTGCCTGGGTGGATGGGCCAAGCTGTCTTCCCTTGGACGGGAGGGACGCAAAGTGTGCAGCCTGTGACCCTGTTCTGACCACAGAACCAGAGGGAGGTGTCGCTCCTTGGAGGGCCACGCACTGCCTGGCACGGCGGTGGCCCCAGCTCGCGAGACCCTGCCCCAGGATCCTCTGCCCTTGGCACCACCACCGCCGCCAACAGTCTTGTGGCTCCAGGACCACAGAGACCGGCGCCCGCCCTAAGGCTGAGGTCCTGGAGCTCTGGAGGGCCTTGTCGTGAATAGCCGCCCACCACCCTGGCTGCCCCAAGTCACGGCCAGGCTCTCTCCGTGCAGAACGCGGACAAGGAGGCTGAGCCCTGGCAGGAGCGGAACAGACACAGAACGTTCTTGTATTGTAATTCTCAGTGGTGAAAACTATACAGAAACACAGCAGAAACTGCTGGAACAGTGTGTAGCTCTAGAAAACATTCTCCACGTTCCCAGCCCGGCCCTCCCCCAACCCCCTGCCCCTCATCTCCGAGAACTGGGCAGAGCCTAGGCGGCTCCTGCTGTGGCATGAAGGCTATGTACAGAGTCCGTGTGGGGCCAGAGGGCCGGCGGCTCCTGTCCTGCCCAGGGCCCTGGCCTCCCTTGAGCTGCCCGCCGGTGGCAAGACGGCCACGGGGGCAGTGAGGGCCGATGCCGCAGGCCTTCCTCCACCACAGCAGGCTGCTGGGGCCCGGGTGGCACGGCCCTCCTTGCCTGCCCAGCGAGCTGCCCTTGACCAGCGCTGGCCGCTCCTGCTGCTCTCGGCCACGTCCACAGCTTCTTGTCACCATGCACCACCGCGAGCCCAAGGGGTAAGACGTGCCAGGCATGTGGGCACGGCCAGCCGCGGCTGCTCGGGGGGGATGTGGATGTGGGCCTCAGCCCTGCGGCCCTCCCTCCGGCCGGCCCGAGTCTCCAAAGCAACCTGAGAGGTGACGGCCGCGGGCGCTGACCCCAGCCACCTAGCTGCTCCCCGAGGGGCAGATGGAGCCGCACATGGGCAGGCCGGAATGCTCCGCCTCCCCGTCCTCTGAGGGCTGCGCAGCGTCCCTGGGCTCGAGGGCAGGCAGAGGCTCGCTCGGGGGGTCCTGGCTCCTCTTCAGCCTGGGCGGGAGAAGCACAGGGAGGGACTTTCGCCACCCACCTGGCACGACCCCAGCATCGCCAGCACATCCAGGATGCTTCTCACCCACTGGTCCCAAGACTGGTCCCAGGACTCACAGAGCGTGTCCCTCAGGGGCCAGGCGTCAGTGACCAAGCAGGGCCAACTGCCGGGCATCTGGCCTGGGGAGTCCCTGCTCCGGGACACGCTGGCCACAGCAGGGAGCCTGGGAGTGGGTGCGGAGGGCCCGAGGGGCAGCTTCGTCTCACAGCACCCTCTCTGCCTGACTGTAACTCAGGCTGGCGAGTTCCAGTGGGCTTCGAGCCAGAAGCTGAAAGAGGCCTGACTCAGCACAGCGGCCTTGGGCCAGAAACTTCGGCGCGAGGCTTTTCAAAGAGCCTGGAGGAGTCCTGTTCTTCACTTGGTCCTTTGACTCCCACCAGCGTCCTCTCCCGTCCCCACCTGCCACCCCGTGCATACTTCCCAGCCACAGCCCATTGGCACCGCCTCCAGGAATCCCTCCCTAGGCAGAGGGAGCATCCACTCCTCCCCTGCGCCCCACACTGCTGGGCTTCCTCCCTCCAAGCAGCAGGTGTTGCTGGCTATTTCCAGCTGTCTTATCCCCTGCCGGCCCATTGTGCTGTCTTTGTCCTACAGCACCTGACATTCAGGCAAGGTCTGCCGGCTGAATGAGTGAGACCATGAATGGAGGGGATGGCTGTGACTCTGATGGGGCCTCCCTGTTCTGGCAGCATGCTGAGTCTCTCCCCAGAGGACCCTGGCCGCTGGCCGCTGGCCCCATTTGGAACTAGAACCATCCCAGAGAGCCTGCCCCCAAGCCAGGGCCTGAACAGAGGCCTCCGGCTGGTCCCCTCCACAGCCACGGCTCAGACTCTCCAAGAAGAGCGGGTGTCAGGCACCCAGGCCCACAGATGCCACGTGGCTGCTGGGGCCTCAGAACTTGTGTGGCCAGTTTTCCTCCTGCCTAAGCCCCCACTTCGCCCCCGACACATGCATACTCACTTTTCTCTGTTGAAAATCACAAAGTCTTGCTGGATTGCATCAAGGCAGTCTTGGAGATAGTCATTCTCCTGCAAAGACACACGTCTCGTGAGCTGTGACAGATGTTGTCCAGGTTCTGCCCAAGTCCCTCGGGTCAGTTTGTGAGCATCACTCCCCAGGCCTGCACCTGTGGCTTTCTCTGGAGGTCTCTGCCCACTGGTGCCAGAGTGAGTGGGAGATGACATTTCCCCCGGCGACAGAAGATGCTTTGACGGTGAGTCAAAACTGTACTATACAGAACCGAGGCCTAGCACCCGTGACGATGGCATGCCAGAGCAGCAGAAGCCAGGTGGCCATACTAAGTGGCGGAGGCCACTTGGGCGTGGTCACACCAATAGGCAGCAAGGGTGGAGTGGCCAGCAGGGCACCCTGCTTGAGAACGATGAGCACGGCCACAGACCACGGCACTCCCAGGGGTCAGAGAGAGGGACAGCCCATGTTCCCACAGTAAGGTCAAGTGGAGACAAGCCTCCCTGATGCGAAGTCACAAACCCTTGCCACATTTGCAGATCTAACTCTGTCCTCAGACCCATCTAGAACCCATCGCCTGAAGGAGGGGCCGCTCCCTTAGGAAGGGTGCAGGTCAGGTCATGGCCAATGTTACAGCAGTGACTCCCCCAGCCCTGCCCATGATGTCTACGGCTGTTTCTGCACAGAGTGGGGGAGTGCCTGGGTGCTCAGAGGTCTGCTGGATGCAGGGGCTGAGCCAAGATTCAGCCACATCCCTCCCACACGGGGCCCAGCGGCTGATCCCCCGGGCCGCCGGGGCACAATCCAGGTGGAGGAACTTGGGCTCTGGCAGAGTTCTCACCTCACTTCTCTGACCTGTGGAGTACATGCTACCAGGATGGAGGAGGGGGACATGGCTGATGCTGGCCAAAGAGCACAGAGTGCCAGTCATGCAGAGGAACATGTTCTGGAAGGCTTGTGTACAGCACGGTGAGTCAAAACTGTACTATACACTTGAATTCTGCTCAAGGATAGATCTTAAATAAAGCATTCTCCACACACACACACACACACACACACACACACACACACACACACACCGTGGTAGCTATGTAGAGGTGATGGATATGTTAACTAGTCATTATTCCACAATGTACACATATATTTTGTATACCTTACATATATACAATTTTTATATGCAATGATATCTCAACAAAACTTAAAATATCGATCACGGAAAAGGCCCTTTGAAAGTTCCTAACAGCCGGGCTCGGTGGCTCAGCTTGTAATCCCGCGCCTTTGGGAGGCTGAGGTGAGTGGATTGCCTGATCCCACGGGTTTGAGACGCGCCTGGGCAACTTGGCGAGACCTCATCTCCACAATAAATCAAAAATGAGCCGGGTGTGGTAGCGTGCGCCTGTAGTTCCAGCTACTCGGAAGGCTGAGGCGGAAGGATTTGTGTGGAGCCCAGCAGGTGGAGGCTGCGGTGGCCGGGAGCGGCCACTGCACTCCAGTCTGGGTGACAGAGTGAGACTCCAACTAAAAAAATAAAAATAAAAAAATAAAAAATAAAGTTCCTAACACTGTACTTCTGAGCCCCCCAACAAAGAAGCCTAGATAATAAACAAAAGCAGCACTGCCCCTGGGGAGGAATGGCAGTGGTAAGTGCTACTGCCAAAGACTGTTAAGTCTTTACTTTTATTTTTGACTTTTAGGATCCAGCGGTGGTAGTTCCCACGATCTTCTCCTGGAATTCCCAAGTCTGGCCCTGCTAAAATCAGACGGGTCATGGCAGATGCTGGTGGACTGTGCCGAATTTAACCTAGCGGTGGCTTCGATCACATCACTAAGGCAGATGAAGAACCTTGCCAGAACGGATCAACAAAGCCTCTGGTCTACAGCATGTGGCCACGACTGAGCAGCTGCGTTCTGTTCAATACCCATCAGCAAGGAAGACTGAAATATGGTTGCGCATCGCCCCATGATGGGATGTTGACCAAGAAGTGTGTCGTTAGGCGATTTCCTCATTATGCGAACATCACAGAGTGCACTTACACAGACAGCCCCCTCATACCCAGGCCGTGTGGTGCAGCCTGTTGCTCCTAGGCTACGGCCTGTACACGTGTGACTGTACTGATTACTGCAGGCAATTGTGTATCTAAACCCAGAAAAGGAACAGTATAATCTTACGGGATCACTGTCACATATGCGACCCCTGGATGACCGCAATGTCACGATGCAGGGCATGACTGCAGTTTGTGTTCACCTGAGATGGACAGCAGCATCCATTCAGGGTCTTGCCCCAGAGCTAAGCTGACTCTCCCGTTCTCTGTCCCCATATAGTCAGAAAGCACCTTGGTCTTCTAGACATTCACAACCATCCTCTCGTCTTAAGTATCGTGTCAGTTCTAGCTGCTGAGTGGAAGTGGCCAAGACTCTAGATACCCTTGTAATTCACATGTCCAGAGTGTGGGAGAGAAATCCTAAACAGACTCAGCAGCCTATTCTATTGGTAAGTTTTTTGGGGGGGGATCTAGTCACATAGGTCATACTGGGACACCTCAAAAGTAAAGAACAGCCGGGCTTGGTGGCTCAGCCTGTAATCCCAGCACTTTGGGAGGCTGAGGTGAGTGGATTGCCTGAGCCCGTGGGTTTGAGACCAGCTCAGGCAATTTGGCGAGACCTCGTCTCTACGATAAATTAAAAAAAAAAATTAGCCAGGCATGGTAGCACACGCCTGTGGTTCTAGCTACTTGGAAGGCTGAGGCGGAAGGATTGCCGGAGTCCAGCAGGTCGAGGTTGCGGTGGCCGGGAGCGGCCACAGCACTCCAGCCTGGGTGACAGAGTGAGACACCAACTCGAAAAAAAAAAGCAAAGAACAAACTGTCTCACCTGGCACCTCTTTCCACTAAGAAAGAAGCACAGATCTTGGCAGGTTCATCTGGGTTTTGGCTACTTCCTCCCCACCCCAAAGGCAAAACCCTTCCAAGTCTCTCCTTGAGCCCCTCTATTACAAAGGGCTTTTCACTCTGCCTAGTGGGAACATGAACTACTCTTTGTCCCACGTGAGCTCTAGGGGTTGCCCTGCTGCTTTCCGGAGCTCCCTGGTCTCAGTGTTTCTTCGCGGTGTTGCAGCGTATGCAGACAAGCAGCTAGCTGAAGACTCAGGGGCACTCTCCATGGCTGCCCTGTCCTCTCCGTGTGGCCGTCTCCTCTCCACGCTTTGCCCTGCCACTGCATGCTGCACCACTCCCCTGAAGGAGTCACCACCCTGGCAGAGAGGACCGCCCTTCATCCTCAGGAAGGATGCGGCTTCTGTACCAGAATAGTCTGGGTAACTCGCCCAGCGGTGTTTTCATGCTCCCTTGCCTGATTTTGCAGCTGAATGAACAAGTGCGCAAACTCTGACTGGAGAGGCTGGTGGCCATCAGAGGCTTGGACCACTCGGGAGTGAGGGTTTGAGTCAGGCAGGAGGCGTGACTGAGACCTTAAGATCAGCAGGCATGTGTGGTGGGGAGCGACCGGAACGGGCACCGGAGGATGGAGGTGAGTATTCGCCATGGCCCCATGTACAGCCCAGAGGCAAGGGCTGTCATTCACCCACTGTGTGCACAGCTGAGTGTCCTGGGCAGAGAGGCCACCAGAAGCCTGAGGAGCTGCTCCAGAAACATCCAGAAAAGGTGGTTCTGCGTGGCACATGAAACATAATGCATACTGAGATGTGCTACCGAAATCCCCTTGCTACAGGGACTATTCTTCCCGAGCTGTGTAGAGCAGGAAACCGTGTTGGCATCTGTGCCTGGCCTGGATCTTCTGGTCTTTGCTTGTGATGGCTCGTCTGTGCCATTTCTCTGGTGGCCTGCCCTGGGCGGTCGGACCCTTCCTCAACACACAAGGGCCCTTCACCAACGACTGAGGGGTGCAGGGCTCTGAAAGCCCAGCTCCCTCAGGGCAGACACCTCTGAGTCATAACCTATGCACCAGGGTCCCCACAGGTTCAGGATGAAGCCACGCCCAAGACTCTTTCTGAAATGCAAACTCACTGGCTTCCAGTCCTTGAGTGATGTCTCCTGGATGTACTGTCCGAGTAACTCACTTGCACATGAGTCCTCACTTCAGGACAGACATCTATAAAGCCTGGAAACACGCTAAGGCTTGGCATCAGACCCCAGATGTCCCCCATAGGACCTGGGAAATGGAGACCAGACTCCAATCCCAAATTTTGTCACAAATAGACCTGCTCAGCAAACCAGGCACAATTCCCAAATGCAAGGGACCTAGAACGGTCAAACAGTCTTGAAAAGCTCAATGAATAAGATTGCAAGCCCATAAATAAACTCTTATATCTTGGGGCAACTGATTTGGAAAGATGATACCAAACAGTTCAATGGAGAAGAAGGGTCTTTTCAACAAATGGTGCTGGGACTATCGGATATCCACATTTGGATATCCACATAAAAAAGAATGCAGTTGGACTCTTACATGACAGCATACATAAACACTAACTCAAAATGGGTAACAGATCTCAATGCAAGAGCTAAAACTATAGAATATTTAGAAGAAAACGTAGGAATAAATCTTTGTGGCCTTAACTGAAGTGCTGGTTTTGTAAGACAGGAGGAAGGAACAGACACACTGAACGACATCCAAATCAAAGAGTTTCCTGCTGTAAATGAAAAAGAAGCTGGGCTCGGTGGCTCAGCCTGTAATCCTGCACCTTTGGGAGGCTGAGGTGAGTGGATTGCCTGAGCCCGCGGGTTCGAGACCCGCCTGGGCAGCGAGACCTCATCTCTACAATAAATCAAAAAATTAGCTGGGCGTGGTAGCACACGCCTGTAATTCCGGCTACTTGGAAGGCTGAGGCGGAAGGATCGCCGGAGCCCAGCAGGTCGAGGCTGCGGTGGCCGGGAGCGGCCACTGCACTCCAGTCTGGGCGACAGAGTGAGACTCCAATTCAAAAAAAAAAGAAAAAGAAAAAGAAAGGCAACCCACCGAGTAGAAGAAAATATTTGCAAATCATTTATCTGATAAGACACTGGTATCCAGAATATCGACATAAATAACTCTTATGAAGAAATCAAAAGACAAGTGAGGACATCTGGTTTTAGCTCTGCCGCATAAACAGCTTGGAAGTCCTCATTCCCGTCCTTGCAACAGGAAAAATGCTGAACACACTGAAAGCCAGACTTTTCTCGAACCCATCATGGAGCTACAGTCAAAGGGCCACTGCCACCCCGAAATTTGAAGAGACAGGTGGGTAGTCAGACCAGCTGACCTGCAGCAAAAGCTGAAGTCATGGGCTGCAGGAACACTTCCTTGGCCACTCTGGAGAACTGCTGGAGCTAAAACTCCTGGGACTGCAGTCTACCAGGCCCAACCCTTTTGTGAGTTTTACCCCCAGAAACCCTACGAACCCTATCAGGTTTTAATGAAGGGCCAAGAAAGATCCTCTCCTGCCTCTGGCATGGGGAGGAGGAAAGTAACCAGTGTGAAATGCACCCAGAAAGCTGAGAAACGACTGTTCAGGGACTGAGGCCCTCTGAGGCTGAGATTTAATCACAGACTGTGAAAGACTTCCCTCTGCCACTTTCCCAACACCGACGGGCTCCAGCAGAACAACATGGATTCCAGCTGCAAGACAGCCCACCTGCAAGGGAAGCCCAAAAGCAGCAGAGGAAAGGGAGAAAGGGACACCAGAGGAATGTGACGCCTCTGGCACCTACAGTTACAGCAGACATGAAACGGCCCAACACCTGGCCCAGTGACCATAACACCTCACACTAAAGGCTCGGCCACTTCAGTTCCTATTACCAGATACATCACGCCCAGCTTTCAACCAGAAGTATGAGGCAGACCAAAAGGCAAGAAAAAAACACAGTGTGAAGAGACAGTGCAGGCATTAGAACAGACCCAGATGTGACCCCAAGGCTGGCATTATCGAACAAGGTATTTACAATAACTGAGATGAATATGGCGAGGGCTGTCATGGAAAAGGAGACAATACATGAGAACAGACACGTGATGCAAGCCGAGAGATGGAACTCAAAGAAAAAAATCCAAAGGAGTCAGCCCAAGATGGAAGAAAAAAAAGAATCCAAAGGAAAACCTAGAGACCAAAACACTGAAACATTGCAAATGAAATGAAAAATGTCTCTGTTGGGTCCATCAGCTGGGTGAGCCCAGGCAAGGAAGGAATCAGTGAGCTTGAAGATATGTCAAACATTCCAAACTGAGGAGGAAAAAAAAAAAGAATGGAACATTCAAGAATTTGGGGACAATTTCAAAAGGCACAACATATATATAATTGGAATACCAGCAGGGAGAGAGCAAAAGAAGAGAGCAGAAGAAACATTTGAAGTAATAATGGCTGATAATTTTCCAAAATTAATGACAGACAACAAGCCATAAATCCAGGAAGCTCAGAGAACACCAAGCAGGATAAATATCTTAAAATCTACACATAGGCATATCGTATTCCAATTGCAGAAACCAAACACAAAGAGAAAATCTTGAAAGAAGCCAGAGGCGGGCTGGGAATGCTACTTATAGAAAAACAATTAATTATAGCAGACTTCTTGTCAGACATCACGCAAGCAAGAAGAAAGTGAAGTGAACATCCAACATGCTGCAAGAAAAAAACCTATCAACTAGAATTTATAGCCAGTGAACTTATCCTTTAAAGGTAAAGAAAAAATAAGACTTTTCGGACAACCAAAAATGGAGGGAATTCATTTCTAGTAGCTCTGTGCTGTAAGAAACGTTAAACGAAGTCCGTCAGGGAGAAGGAAAATGATATAGATCAGAAACTTGGATCTACAGAAACAAAGGAAGAGCATTAAAGAAGGAATAAAATGGCTAAATTTTCATATTCTAAAAGATAACTTTAAAATAATAACAGTAACAACACACTGAATAATTATGGCTTACAGACAAGTGAAAAGAATGACAGCCATGCCATAGGGGACGGGAGGAACGAGTGAGGAACATTCTGTTGTGAGGGAGATTGCAAAGTCTAGAGCAACCATTAGAAATAATTTACGATGAAGCATAACTGATAGGCTAAGAAAGGAGATAAAATAGAATCATAAAACGCTTAATCAAAACCAGAGAAGGCTGGTCAATAGACAACAACTAATACATAGATAATAGTTACAAATATGGTAGATACTGTGCCCAGTTATATCAGTGGTCACTTTAAACGTGAACAGTCTAAAATACAGCAATTAAAGGACAGATATTGTCAGGGCAGATGGAAAAAAGACCAAAAACCCACTCTTTGAAGGATTTCACCAGACATTCCTCCAAGAAAAAATGCCCAATAAGCATCCAAAAAATGTTCAATATCACTAGTCAGAGAGATGCAAATAGTCATCACAACATCTCTTCATACTCACTAAGATGGCTACAATTTAAGAAAACAGGCAGGACACTAACAAGAGTTGGCAAGTGTATGGAGAAACTGGAGCCCCCACACACTGCTGATGGAAGTGGAAAATGTGAGACTTGCCTTCGAAAACAGCTGGGCAGTTCTTCAAAACAAAGCGTGGAGTTACCAGACGACCCAGCAGTTTCATTCCTAGGTATATACTCAAGAAAATAAAAATGCACATCCACACGAGGACTGGTACACGAATGTTCACAGAAGCGTTACTCATAACAGCCAAATACTCATCGACTAATGAACGGATACATAAAATGTGATATGTAAGTGAAAGGTTATTCAGCCATCAAAAGGAATGAAGTACCTACACACGCTACATCATGGTGCACCTTGGAAACATCATGCTAAGTGAAAGAAGCCATCTGTCCAGAACAGGAAAATCTATAGAGACAGAAAGCATGAGCCGGGCTCGGCGGCTCAGCCTGTCATCCCGCGCTTTGGGAGGCTGAGGTGAGTGGACTGCCTGAGCCTGCGGGTTCGTGACCCGCCTGGGCAACTTGGTGAGACCTCATCTCTACAATAAATCAAAAATTAGCCTGGCATGGTAGTGCGTGCCTGTAGTTCCAGCTACTTGGAAGGCTGAGGCGAAAGGATCGCCGGAGCCCAGCAGGCCGAGGCTGCAGCAGCCAGGAGCAGCCACTGCACTCCAGTCTGGGTGACAGAGTGAGACTCCAACTCAAAAAAAAAAAGATAGTATGGCTTCCAGGGGCTGGGAAGAGAGGTGTGACCTCTAATAAGTAGGGGGCTTCTTTTAGGGTAGATGAAAAAATTCTACAATCAGGTTGTGAATGCACAACCCTGTTACGACGCTACAAATTGCTCAGTTATGTACTTTAGATGGGTGAATGGTATAGTTCATAAATTATATCAAAATAAAGCTATTTTTAATTAAAAAAACTCTCTCAGCCTTGAGGTTCTTTATTTTTCTAAGTACCTTTCCAAGAATACTGGGGTTTTTTTCCTCAGTAATGGGTTGTCCCTCAGAACACCTCCCACCCTCTAGCCAGACCAGCTCCCCACATCCAACCCAAGACAAAGCCCAGCTCCTCCATTCCCAAGTGCCTGACCTCCCTGCCCCCTCTAAAACCTCCTGGGGGTTCAGCGTGACCAACTGGGCTCTGCATACTGCCCACCCCTGGGTTCTCTTGTGAGGGTTCCCGTCCCTATCCCAGGCCTATTCCTACACCCAGAGCCCTGGATCTGGAGATGCCCTGGTGAATGGAACTTAAACAGCTCCACCCAACCTGTGACTCTCAGCAACACCTCTCCCTCCAGCCCTCCAGCAGGCGGCTGCTCTATGCCTGCAATTCCACCCACGGACGCCAGGGGTCATCATCAGCAGTCCTGGAGCAGGGGGAGATGATGGGAGCCTGAACCACTGGGGCCTGTGTTCCCTGAAAAACTGAGGCACCCAGGGGATGATTCCCGGCCCGTATCCCACATCGTCACGAGGAGGGGATTGATGCCCATCCTCTGCCCAGGAACAACAGAGGGTCCGCCAGATCTGGGGAAGTTGCACAGGGGTTGGGAGCCTGAGAGTATCCCAGAGCACCCTCCACAGGCTCAGACGGGCCCAGGGGCACAGGGGCCACCAATCAAGTCTAGTGTTATCACTGTCGCCCCTGACATGTGACTGTAGCTTCTCTTTCGTGAACATCAGCTACACCCTGGTGTTAGAGCTGAATTATGTTCCCCAAAAAGACATGTTCAAGTCCTAATCCTGGGTATCCACGAACGTGACCTTCTTGGAGACAGGGTCTTTGCAGATGTAATCAAGTTAATGAATGAGCGTGGGCCCTAAGTCCAAGGGCTACAAAAAGAGACACAGACGCACACACAGGCAGATGGCCGTGTGACAACAGAAGCAGAGATTGGAGCGATGCGTCTAAAAGCCAAAGAACACCAAGGACTGACTGCCACTGCCAGAAGCAGGAAGGGCTAGGAAGGCTTTCCTTTCCTAGAGCCTTCGGAGGGAGCATGGCTCTGTTGACCCAGCAAGTTTGCACTCGGGCCTCCAGAACCAGGAGACGAGACACTTCCGTTGCCTCGCCACTTGGTTTGAGGTCATTTGCTGCGGCAGCCCTGGGACACGAATGCACCCGGTCACGGCGCCAAGGCCTTCCCCTGTGCACACTCACAGCCCGCACCTCATGGTCATTGCCCACCTCCCTTCTGAAGGAGCAAGGGCGGTCTGAGAGAGGAAGATCTTGGGCTTCTGGACTTCCAAGAAGTGTGGCCTGCCGGGGGCCTTCCAGGGCGCCACGAGGGGACCTTTGCACGCTGCGTACAGTGACGGAGCGAGCACCCAGGCCCGGCACTCACGGACTGGGAGCTGTCCCTGCTGTTGTCCCGCGACTTGTTCTTGGCCAGGCGCTTCTTCTTCTTGTGCAGCGGCCTGGACTCCAGGATCATCTCCTCTAACTCGAAGGTGGGGTCGCAGTGCAGGCGGCCTTTCTGCGAAGGGACAGGGCGCTGAGCCCCGGCCCGCGGGGGCCGCCCGCCGCCCTGCTCCAGGGCTGCCCCTCCCGGCACCGCCCACAGCTTACGTTGGGCACAAAGCCAGGCTCCACCTTCTTCTCGCTCAGGTCATCCCACAGCACGCCGGCCAGCGCCGGGGCCGCCCGCATGTCCTGGAGGCTGGAGTACCGGTGCTCCGGGTTCACCGTTAGGAGCTGCAACAAGGCCCACGTCAGACGGGCCCTGGGGCTGGAGCCCGCCCGCCCCTGCTGGCGCCTGCCTGGCCACCAGCCACGGCCCCGGCCCCAGACCACAGCACCCTATGGAGACGTGTGCCAGGCCTGAGTTCGGAAATCCAGGATCTCAAGGGCCACGCAAGGAAAGGCGGTGCCAATCTCAGGCAGAGCATCACGGTCAGCTCGGCAACACGGCCCGAGGGGCAGACGAGATCTGGGTGGTGCTGGCCAAACCCTGGCTCCCACAAACAGCAGAGGGGACTTGGAGGAACTGTTCTGTGGGAATCGCCAGCAGATGGCAGCCGAGGCCCGGTTAACCCGGCCTGGAACACACGCTCTCCGTCGCAGCGGAGGGCCTCCATGGGCTGACGGGCCCTGGGCAGTTGTGTGTGACCGCGCAGCAGCACCATGGCCTGGGCACCTCCCACATGCTCGCTGCCATGTGCGCCGTTGCCTTTCCCAGGGAAAGTGCTGCAGACCCCCTGCAAGGGTCCCCAGGCATGGGCTCAGGCATGCGGGCCACTCCCTTCTCCAGCAAGGCCCCACCTTGGAAGCCACCTGGGCTGGTGTGGACAGAGTTTTGTGGGCTGAGGCTTGGCCGGGAGGCTCTCTGGAGGGCTGCGGAGAGGCCGCTGCCGGGCCAGGCCTCTCTCAGCTCTGAGGCTGCTTGACTACAACCCCAGAGCAGAAGGACTCACAGCTGGGGCCCAGCCTGCTCAAGAGGGCCTTGAGAGTCCAGAGATGGGAGCCAGCCAGGCCCAGAGGCACAGCACACCCCACCCTGTCCTGGCCTGACTCTCCGACTCCTCCCTTCGGAGGCACCAGCCGCCGGGTGAAAGTGCAGCTCTAGGGGGGACGTGTGCAGGCCAGTTGAAGTTCCAGCCCTGGACCCCAAAGGGGAGGCACGCTGATGGCAGCGCCACGGCCGAGGGCCCCGTCCGACTGATGTCCCCTGGACTGCAGCAGACCAAGCTCAGGCCCCAGGAGCTGCGTGAGGATCTGGTTTCTCCTCTGCTTGCTCCCTGGGAGGGGCGGCCCAGGCTGTCTGCATCGGGCAGCAGCCGTCCACCTCCACAGAGGCAGAGGGGCCGGAGCGCAGTGTGGGCCCACACCCCCTTCCAACACTCGGGACCCGGGTGACCGGGCATAGGGCTTCTCTGTGCCTCAGTGTCAGTGTCTGCGAGACAGGGTGATGACTGATGGGACAGGCACGTGGGTTCGCTGGGAGGTTACATTTGATAAAGGTGCCCGGGTGCCCAGACGGGGTCCCAGACGGGGCTCGCTGTGAAGAGAGGACAGCAGGGCAGTGGCCAGTCCAGGATGCCCAGCCCGCCGGAGAGGAGCACAAAGACCCACACTCCCTTTCCCGAGGCCAGGGGCCTCAGAGCTGTGGTCTGGTAAGGTCCCCACATGCCACAGCGAAGGGTCTGGGCTCGCCAGGACGTTATGCTAAGTCTGCACTGGGGTGGGGTTGCAGCCCTGAGCCCCGGGAGGGCAAGGGGGCATCCTGGCGGGTGAGGAGGCTCGGGGACGCTGGGGCTCACCTTGCGCAGCAGGGCCACCATCTCCTTGGACCAGGTGGGGACATACTGGACGCTCACGGTGCTGAACAGCTGCACCAAGGACTCCACAGCATTGCTGGAGTGGATGTCATAGGGCCTCTGTGGGCAGGAAGGCAGGGCTGGGCAGGTATTCCTTGCCCTCCTCACACCCAGAACAATGCCAGGTGCACCTGCTGACACCCTGCGGGCGCCCCCACCCTCCCCACCCCAAATGCAGGCTCCACTCTGAGCCCAGCCTCCACTCGCCTCGGAGGAGCCGAGAGCCAAAGTCTGCACCTGAGCCATGCCCCACACTACGGCCCAGGTGCCCATCTGGCCAGGAGGCAGGCACCCTCTAGAGGGCCTGGGTCTCAGGGGTCAGCCCCCCTGGCTATGAGAAGGCTGCCTTCCTCAGGGGTGGGGTCCCATGGGTAGCTGAGGAGTACAGTGCTTCAATGACTCCCAAGAGGACACCCAGCCTCCTGGCTCCAGGAACCACAGGGCCCCCCACAAGAACCTTGTGGAAAGTTCCAAGGAATCACTCCCGCTGGACAGTTCTCAGCCCTGTGTGCCCCCCAGAGGCCAGCGTGCAGGGCCCACCAATGGCACCCGGGAAACCACGGTGAGTTTCTCCTTCCTTCAGTTGCTCAGGCATGGGACCACCACCCAGCCCGCCCTGCCAAAAGTGTGCGTCCTGCCTGATGGAGGGCGGAAACACCCGTGAGCACTTGGGATTGGGCAGCCTCCTCCTGCCCTGGCACTTGGGCCACCCCAGGGAGCAGTCAGCTCGGGATTGGGGGCCCCTCCGCGGGCAGGGGCTCCGTACCCATCCTCGAAGCAGCTCGTAGGCCATCACCCCCACCGACCACCAGTCCACCTCGAAGGAGTAGCCAGTGCCACCGTTGACAAAAGAGTGGAAGATCTCCGGAGCTTTCCAACAGAAAGAGAAGGGACAGCTGGGCCAGGGGTTGGCACTCGAGGCCAGTCCTGGATACAGGCTGCCCCCAGGGCTAGACGGGGAAGCGACCGAGGCACTGCCCTTTCCCACCTGGAGGGAGCCGACTCCCTTCCAGCACACCCCCACCCAGCATGGACATACCCATATAGGGCTTGGTGCCGGCTAAGGCTGTCGCCCGCTCCCCGTCCTTTATGATGGTGGCGATGTTGAAGTCCGTCAGGTGCGCGTGTCCTGTGGAGAGAGGTCCCAGGGGACCGTCCCAGAACGAAAGACGCATCCTTGCAGGCAGGGGCATCGGCCGCCATCCTGCCCAAGCCCCTGCCCTCCCTGCCACCACTTACCGCGCTCATCCAGGAGAATGTTGTCAGGCTTGACGTCTCTAGAAAGGACAGAAGGCAGGAAGATGAGTCCTTATACCTGCCCTGGAATCCTTGGCAGAGCTGGGCTTCCCGAGACGCCCCCACCCACCCACCTGGGGCAGAGGTCTACTTGGTCCTTGGGACAACAACAGAGCCTGAGGCCTGTGGGTGGAGGCAGAGGAAGTGAAACCAGCCACCGTTCTGTGTGGAGGGGCCTTGCCCGGCAGCCCTGCCTCTGAGTCCAGACAGCCGATAACACCGGACACAGAGAGGGGCCTACAACCTGAGACCCCCAGAGCACAAAAGCAATTGCTGGCTGCGTCGGTCCTTCCACGTCCACAAGGCAGCTCCAGAGACCGACACACCTCACTCCTTGCTCTGCCCTGACTTCCAGGCAAATGGCCAGTCCTTGGTACTTGGAACCTAGATCATGGCCAATGACAGAATCCCCAAGGGCAGAGATGCAGAAATAAGGGCATCGGACTTCATAATATGAGCAGGGACCTCCCCAAAAGACGAAATCATCTTTTGGAGGGCGGGGACCCTACAGGCCTCCCCTGCTAGGTAAGTGTTCTGGGAACCCCTGGGCATCAGCTAGTGTTGTTGTGAGAGGCTGCGTTCAGTTTCAGTGACATTTTTTTTTTTTTTAGATTCTTTCAGTGCGTTTGCCCATTTTATGATGGGCGATTTACACAAACAGCCTGCCCACACCGTGCTGCGTGTTCCACAGTTTTTGACCCAAAAGCGGCATGACCCCTGTGCCCACCCTCCCTCTTCACCTGGTCTTGCCCCAAGTGACTGGATGAGAAAAGTCCTCAAAGGGAAATGTTTCGCTGATGTGGAAGAAGTGAAACAAAAAGGGGCAGAAGCACTAAAAGACCTCAAAATCGACAGTTTCAAAATGTTTTGAGCAATGGAAAAAGAGTCTTGATAGAGGTATTGCATCAAACAGAGGGTACGTGGAAAATGACTGAAGTGTACACATGTAAGAATAAATACACAATTTATAAATAAATTCCAAGTTGGGGGGCAGTCTCCCTCGTGTACCTCACAGACTTTTCCAGTTTGTTCCTTGGCTACAGAATTTCAGCCTAATTTCTGATTTCTAATTTCCTCTGCTTGAAGCTACCATTAAACTAGTTTGGATTCCCCAAGGACGTGGCGGGTAGGCAAACAGGAGCCCACAGTTAAATAGACCAGGCGAAGGCCATCTGATGTGGCCAGGCCCTGTGGCCTATCCATGGCAGCCAACAGCCATCTGTGGTTAGCCTCAGCTGGGGCTGCTTGGACTGAGTCCATCCCCAGGTGGACACCGGGTATGCAGCTGCAGCACGGACCTCAGAGTGGGGCATGACCAGCATGGCTGCCGCAGCTGGATGCAGGTCCTAAGGCAAGTGTGGAGCGGGGGAGCCAGACCAGGTTCTGCTGGAGTGCGGATGCCCTTGGAGGGCCTGACCCGAGGCTGCTGCCAACCCCACCTGGTCTAGACGGGTACCCCGCCCCCATCGGTGTGCACCTGTGAATGATGTGCTGACTTCGCAGATAGTCGAGGGCCAGTGCCATCTCGCAGATGTACAGTCTCACCGTGTCCTCAGAGAACTGGACATTCTGCTGCAGGTGGTAGCGCAAATCCCCACCCAGGAGCAGGTCCACGACCATGAACATGTCCTCCTCGTCCTGAAAGGAGTACCTGTGGGCACCAAGGAAGGACCAAGCGTGGGCACAGCTGTGGAACCAGTCGTGGTTCCTACTGGCTGCTGTGCACCTCAGGACCACAGCTCACACCCCCATCGCCCACTGGGAACTTCCAGAAGTAGGGTCCTGCCCCCGGCGCTGACTCCTCTCTTGCTCAGGGCTGCCCTGAGCCAAGACTTTTGGGAAAGACAGAGCAGCCTGTCCTGGGGATGGCACGGCTGGGGGTCAGAGACATCTGTGAGTGACAAACAGAGAAACAGTGTCTCTGGGTTGTTTCGGGCTGCCCTGGTTTCCTCTTTGGTGAAATGGGGATTAAAATATCTGCCTTGGAAGGTTGCTAAAGAAAATGAGACGGTGCGGGTGACATTCTTGGCACAGTGTTGGGCCCGGGGCTGGCATGTGATCACCAGCAGCCGTGGTGGTGGTGACGGTGATGCTGGTGGCGGGGACGACGGTAATGGCGGCGAAGATGACGATGGCAGTGGAGGTGATGGTGGCGGTGGGAGCAGCGGTGACGGTGGTGACGGTGGAGGTGACAGTGATGGTGACAGCCATGGTGCTGGTGATGCTGGTGACAGTGGCGGTGATAACAGCGGTGATGGCGATGACGGTGGCGTGGTGGGGATAAAGGCGATGGCGGTGAAAATGAGGGTGGCTACAGCCGAGCAGCACATCAAGGGCTTCCGCCACTTTGCTGTTTATTTACTTATTTACTTATTTCCTCTAACAGCAGGCTCGCTCTAGCCTCTCCCTCCACCTCCACCAGACAGAGATCCTTCCACCTCCGTCTCCTGAGGTGCTGAGACTACAGATACGTGACACCACACCTGGCTATTTTTTTCTGTAGAAATGAGGTCTCACTACGTTGCCCGGGCTGGTCTCAAACTTCGAGGCTTCAGCAATGCTCCAGCCTTGGCCTCCAAAGTGCTGGGTTTATAGGTGTGAGCCACCACACCCGGCCTGCAAGTTATCTCGTGAGCTCTCAGAGGTAACGTTAGTCGTTAAATGATGGGGTCTTTCAAGAAGAATAGCACAGATGACTCGTTGGTTTTTTTTTTATTTTTTTTTTTGAGTTGGAGTCTCACTCGGACGCCCAGACTGGAGTGCAGTGGCCGCTCCCGGCCACCACAGCCTCGACCTGCTGGGCTCCGGCGATCCTTCCGCCTCAGCCTTCCCAGTAGCCGGAATTACAGGCACGCGCTACCACGCCCGGCTGATTTTTTGATTTATTGTAGAGATGAGGTCTCGCTGCCCAGGCGGGTCTCAAACCCGTGGGCTCAGGCAATCCACTCACCTCAGCCTCCCAAAGGCGCGGGATTACGGGCTGAGCCACCAAGCCCGGCTGATGACTCATTTTTCACAGGCTGTCCCTCTACCTGCCCTCCACAACCCTTCTGTTTTCATCCCCCAAAAAGGGTAGCCTGGAGAGGGTAGCACACATTGGGGCCTGGGGAAAGAGCCACAGAGCAAAGGGACTCAGAGTGCCAGGCCCCAAGATGGGCCCAGGGAACAAGAGCAGGTGGCCTCCTACACTTGGAGGTAAAGCTGTGGTGGCCCTGCCCTGTGTGGCCCCAGATGGCAGGAGACGTCTTCCGGTAGGCTGGCCTGTGGGGAGGGGACGCCAGTCACAGGAAGAGGAAGAAAAGGTGCATACATCCTGAAGACTCACAGCCCTGAGAGCTGCCTGTTTGGAACACTCTGTCCAGGGGGATGCCCACTGCCCAACGAGGGCAGCCTGGGGACCATGCCCACCTGTGTGCCACAGGTGAGGGGGCTGAGGACAGAGAGTTTAGGTACACTGTCGCCAGTCAGGCGGGAATTTCAGCCCATGCTCCCTGATCACTGCCACACTGCCTCCCAGACAGAGGCCAGGAGGACCAGAGTCAGGGCAGACCCAAGGCTGCAGGAAAGGGAAGTCCTCCTCTGCAAGCAGCCTCAGCACCCACGGCGTGGCTGAGTGTCGGCCATGACAGCAGCCTGCTCCCATGGGGCCATGGGCCAGGCCCACCTCAGGGAATAATCAACCCCATTGGAGGATGAGGGATCTGACCCAGGCCTGGCCTTCCTCGGCCACCGGATGGCAGGAACAGGTTAAGGGGAACTTGGTACTTGCATGCCCCCAGCTTTGGAACCATTGTCTGGGATGCTAAGAACAAGACTACAGATCACAAAGACACAGTCCAGCCCTGCCAGCCTCCATGTGCCTGAAGATGGCAGTGAGTGCCCTGAGGGCCACAGAGAGGAAGGGACAGGTGGCAGGGACAAAGCCGAGACGCAGGCAAGGGGCAAGAAGTGGGAGGGTCATGGTCATGGCTTGGGCTCCTTCCTCTCACCTGGGTAGCTCATGGCTCCTCACATCCGGGTGCCTGAGGCTCAATCAGAATTTCCTGGCTCTGCCCAGCCCCCCTGGAAGGCTGGGCTCCCCGTTGTCCTCCCCAGCAACTGTGGAGTACAGTCGCATGACACTGTTCCTGAGCTGTGTCATATAGCCCTTGGGAAGGAACCACGTCCACTCTGAAGTCCCGGGAAAAAGACTGGGTGGTGGGGGTGGGGTCTGGGCTCTGAATGAGTCCCTGAACAGCTGACACCAGATTCCCTGTCACACAGGATGCACTGGTCCCTTCACTCTACTGTCCCCAAATGGTCATTGGGACTTTTCCTTAGCTTGGCTAACGGATTCTCAGGAGACACATGAAGGGATGGGGACATTTCCATCTTCCAGAGGCTGCTGGCCAGGACCATGACCATTTGTCACACAACTCTCCAGCTACTAGGAACATTCAGCTCTACCGGAGCTTCTGGGAATCATGCCTGCCTTTGTGCATATCACAGAGCAGTACAAGAAGCAGGGAGGGAGGACCCCTGAGTCAGGGAGGACATCTGCAGTGTGGAGGAACCTTGCATCAAGGAGGATCCCTGAGTCAGGGAGGACTCCTGCATTGGGGAGGACGCTTGCACCATGGAGGACTTCTGCACTGGGGAGGATCTTTGTATTAGGGAAGATCCCTGAGTCAGGGAGGACTCCTGCATTGGGGAGGGTCCTTGCATCATGGAGGACCCAAGTCAGGGAGGTCTCCTGCATTGTGGAGGACCCTTGCACCAGAAAGGAGCCCTGAGTCAGGAAGGCCTATTGCAGTGGGGAGCACCCTTGCACCATGAAGAACTTCTGCATCGGGGAAGACCCCTGAATCAGGGAGGACTCCCAGAGAAGAATGGGCTGAGCCTTCCAGTAGTATCCTGATTCCTAACCCTCCCAGAGCTGGTCTTAGGTCTCGCTGCCCAGGGGTTCGAACCCGCGGGCTCAGGCAATCCACTCACCTCAGCCTCCTAAGGCGCAGGATTACAGGCTGAACCACCGAGCCCGGTTAGGGCTCCTTTTTTAAAAAAAAAAAAGAAGCTCATGGTCAGGTACCTAAACTCTCCCCCACTGACTTTAGTGCCAGAGAATCCACAGGTGATAAATCTTCATCGCCGTTAAGTCCTGGGCTTCTGGGAGACTCAGGAGACACAGTATATTAACTCAGTGTGTCCTGAACCCTGCTGCCCTTGGACATAGGGAGGTAAACTGATGAAGAGGGAGGGGTGGGCCTGCAGGTGTCAGGGCATCCTCAAGGCCCGAGAGCCAAGGAGCAAGACAGAGGGCAGAATAGGGGTAGGAGAGGACGGACTGCATCTTCACCAGCTTCAGGGTCACCAAGTTCTCTGCAGCAAGGCCATCCGGGCAGGAGCCACGCAGGCTAGCTCACCAGAGGTTCACCAGGAAGATGTGCTCGATCTCCTGCAGAATCTCCAGCTCCCGGAAGACGTTGCGGACCTCGTCGCGCTCGATGCACTGCTGCTTGTTCATGTACTTCATGGCGTACATCTTCTCTGTGTCCCGCTTCTGCACGATGCACACCTGGAGGGCGAAGGGCATTTCAGCAAGGACTCACAAGGATGTGAACTCTGCAGCCCCCTCCACTTCCTGGACGCGGCAGACACCGCTTGAAATGACTGGGATTTCAAGTCTACAGCAGGTACCTTCTATAGACAGGACCCAGCCTAAGAGCAACCAGGGGTGAGCCAGAGCCCCATGGCAGCTGGTCCACGTGGGGAGGGGCCCTCACCATGACCTGGGTAGGGAGGGGGTCTCACCTTCCTAAACCCCAATATCCCTTTCCTTGGAGCAGCAAGTGGCTTGGAGGGCAACTGGAGAGTGAAGGTGAGAGCCCACTTAGCACAGAGCTCTGCACGCAGGACGTCTCATCAACCACAACCACAACCTGGCCCTAGACACAAGTCATTCATGCCTCCACAGACCCCTGCTCCAGTCGGCACACCGTAAGAATCGTGTCTCCTCCACGCTGTTCCATGGGGCCTGAGGCCCAGGGAGCAGACAGGCGGAGCAAGGTGTTGGCCATTGTACCCATCACAGCAGTAACCCTCTGTGATGACAGTCCTGGCACAGCTCTGGAGGCACAATGCCCTCTGAGTATGGATCATCAGCATCGACCGGCACAGCTGACTCTGCCAACCCATCACTAATTGCTTAGCAGAGAGATCAAAGTGAGAATGAGAAGCCTAAAATGAGCTGGGGGGTCCCTTGTGACCAAGGAACATCCATCACAACAGAGGTCTAAGATCCCCACAGGGAAACCAAGGACTAAGGTACAGAATCGTAAGCTGTAGAGCCAGTACCCCATCTCCCATTCAAGCCGTGGAAAGTCCTTTCAAGGACAGGTAGCCCAGAGCCACTTCTGAGACCTTCCACAACCTTTGGTTTCAAAGAGTAGGAGCCCAGGGGGCCCGGAGGAAGTGGATGATTCTGGAACTGAAGGTAGGCAAGAAATGCCCCAGGTGCCTCACCCCAAGGTAGGTAGCCTAGCACTGATCAGACACCTCAATGCGAGTCAGTCTTAGGCCAAACCTGCTGGGTCCATCCCTTTCATGAAACCCACACCTCCTCTCCTAGTAACACATCCGAGGACACCAAGATACTTTATGTCCAAAGATGGTCATCGTGGTGTTATTTAAAGCAACCAGACTTTCGAGCCATCTTACCATCCAATAACTTTATGGGCAAGCACAAGCAAGCTCAGTGAAATATCGTGCAACCATTGAGATAATATTTATAAAGACTTTGAATGGCATGTGACAATTTTTATGCCAAGCAAAACTGATAAGTGATACTACTAAATGCAGACTATGGAATCATGATGTGCTCAGGATGGCCAGGAACTGGAGGTGAGCACACGTGAGTGACAACAGCTACGCCGGTGGACAGGGGCACGGGTGATCACTTCTCCTTGCTTTGGTTTACATGACATCACCGTGAAGGGGTCGGCAGATAGGTGCTGATGTTGGAAAGCCTATGACGGTGGTGTCAGGTCTGTCGGGGGACTACTGGCTTTCAGAGTTTCTGGACACAGCAGCCGAGCCACTTCTCTCAGCCTGAGTTCTAAATATCTGACATCCTCCAGGGACAGCAACCCTCGAACTTCGTGAGCCATAGCTGTGGTTTTTCCACACTGTGGATGCCGACACTCTGCCCACAGGCCACGTCGTGTGACCAGGGGAGGCTGAGGCTACGGGAACAAGCGGGGCACGGTGCCGTGACAGAGCTTCTCCACATTTGGAGCCCGCCCACCCTACAGCACAAGCTACCACCGGCACAGACCCAGCCAAAGCCAAGTCCCCTCCATGCAGTCCTGCGAGGACTGAGGTTCAGGGAGCAGACACATGGGGGCCAGCTGTGGGCGTGGGGACTGCAGGAGTATGCTGAGAAAGGGGCCAGGCACCAGCCACCAAAGCAACCCCACAGATGAGGTCGGGGTGTCTGCCTCCCTGATGCTAGGGGAATGAGGAAGGCAGGGGAGCTCTCTGAAAGGAGTACAGTCATGAAAGCATTGTCACCAAGTGGAGTTTGGGTCCCACAGAGCTTCCTTGGTGGGGGACAGTGACCCCCGCCACCACGGCACCCCTGCAAGAGCTCCGTGCCCATGAGGAGCCCTGCTGGCCAGGACAAGGCAGGGTGCTGGGCGGAGGCCGAGAAGCCTCGAGGGGAGGCCAAGATGAGTGCATTCAGAGTGACAGGACCCGTTCACACAGCAAAGTTCTCCCAGATTCACCCAGTGGTTTGGTCCTGGCCACTGAGGCCACACGAAGCCGGCAGATCCCGCCCACGGCCCACCCCCTCCTCTCGGGCCTGGCCATTCCCCACTAGACAGCCAGCAACCTTTGAACTCTACTGACCCTCCATTTCCTCATCTGCTAAACTCAAACACTCCGCTGACTCGCCAGCTTGTAAGAAGCCAAGGAGATGTGGGGGAGACAAGCCCCTCTGCAAACTGCTCGTGCTGGGGGTACAGTCCAGGTGCCCAGCTCCCACGGCCTACCAGGACTGTTCCCTAGTGCAGTCAGCTGAACAACGGCTCCAAGGATGGCCTAACTCCCGGAACCTGGGAATGTGTCACCTCACATGGCAAAGGGACTCTGCAGATGTGATACGGTTAAGGTTCCTGAGCTGAGGAGATAATCCTGGGCTATTCTGGTGGGTCTTAAATACAATCATATGTGTCCAGGGGAAGATTTGACACAGAAGGAAGGCCAGGAGGCAACTGAGGCCCGGGGCTCCACCGCTGGCCTTGAGGATGGAGGGAGGCTCCACTAGCCTGCAGGGAAGACTGCCTCTAGAAGCTGGAAGAGGCAAGAACAGATCCTCCCCTGAACCTCTGGAGGGAATGCAGCCCTGCCAACCTCTTGATTCCAGGCCGTGATCCTGATTCTGGACCTCTGGCTTCCAGAACTGAGAGAGCCAATGCGCATGTTTGTAAGCCACCCAGGTGTGGTCATGGGCTGTGCCAGTCTCAGGAAAGGAATGCAAGTAACCAGCACTCTGGGTGCCATGAGGACCCAGAGGTAAGCAGCTGGTGGCAGTGACTGCGTCATCCACCTGTGCTGTGAAACACACGGTCCAGGCTGTCAGGGCTGCCCCGGGTGGTGACGGCCTCCAGGCTCTTGTGGAGACTGCAGAAAATGTCCAGGAGAGAATGCAGAGAGAATCCTGTACCAGGAGGGCTATGGAGACCTCCTGGCCACGTGGCCACAAATTTTAGGTCAGTGAGCCTTGCTGTATTGTTTCTCTCACTTTAGCATCCGAGGAAAGATCCAAGGGTCCTGAGGGAGCCCATCCTCCATGTGGATTTTGCGACAATACTTCACCAGCTCTGCCAAATCTGCATCCTGGTTTATGGCCGCAGAGTGTGAGCTGCAACGGAGCCTTCAAGAGTGGCTGTTACCACTTCACACAGTCGATGACTGGCCACCTGGGGGGCCCTTTCGAGGCTGCTCAGCTCACCCCCTCCTGCTCTGGCTTCCCTAAACCAGACTCCCCTTAGGGACCGGCGTTTCTGTAGTGGCTACACTTTACCCAAAGCAAGAGCCCCCTAGAGGGTCCCGGGACCTCAGCAGCGTTTGCATCTCCCAGGAGATCCCCAGGTGATCCCATCTCCCTGGAGGTTGGAGGACGGGTATATGTCTATGTGCATGTGAGAGAATGTGGACAACTCCTAGCTCCTCTGTTGCTTTTACCATTTGGGAAGGTGATGTCAGCTTGGGAGACATTTTCTTAATCCGGGAAAAAAAACGTGCCGATTTCCCAGACTCTGGTTGAGACGCTGCTTGCTCCATACAGGGGCCACCTATGCCAACACCCTTGCTTCCCGAATGCCCTGGAGACCCGGGAGAGTGTCTCAGGCCTTCTCCAGATGCGGAGCTCCCATCCAGCGGTTTCACGTTGTCACTCGACCCCCACCCATTGCCAAGTCGGGTCAGACCAGCATGCACTGGTCCCGCCACAGGACATGACTTTCCTCCTAAGGAAAGTACTCCATGAGAAGGGCATATGAGAAATGTTCTCTGGTTCAAAGTTTTTTTTGTTTTTGCTTTTGAGTTGGAGTCTCACTCTGTCGCCCAGACTGGAGTGCAGCGGCCGCTCCCGGCCACCGCAGCCTCGACCTGCTGGGCTCCGGCGATCCTTCCGCCTCAGCCTTCCTAGTAGCCGGAATTACAGGTATGCACTACCACGCCTGGCTGGTTTTTTGATTTATTGTAGAGATGAGGTCTCGCCAAGTTGCCCAGGCGGGTCTCGAACCTGCAGGCTCAGGCAATCCACTCACCTCAGCCTCCCAAAGGCGCGGGATTACAGGCCGAGCCACCGAGCCCGGCGGTTCAAAGTTTTTTAAAAGAAGATCAGGACAAAGGTGGTCTGGGCACAGAGCAACCACTGTGTCCTGGGAACCAGCCCCTCACATCTTCCCAGTCCTCCCTGAGGGAGGCGGCTCCTGCGGTACAGACATTGCTGCTCCGAATCGTGGAATCTTGCTTTTTCTTCGTTTGTCAGCTGAGGTTGTGTGCACCATCCCAAAGAAATTCTCTGCAGGGCTATCTCATTAAGGCAGCTGTGTAGGGCTGGATTTCTCACCCTGCACCCCTCTAGACCTGGTGCTTGCCTGCAGGGCTTCTCCCCTGCACCAGGGACCAACTGCAAACTCGGCTCTTTGCTAAAGGTTAAGGAAGGTCTGGGTTTCCACCTGTAGATCCAGCCCTCCGCTCCCGAGCCCCTGTCAGGCTCCAGACTTGCCCACATGGTGCATCCCCATTGGTTTCTAAGGCCACCCCAGCACAAGCAGTCCCTGGAGTCCCAGTCTCAAGGATTCTGACGTTCTTAACATGTCTGTCTGCACATGCTTTGCCATCCTCCTTGGGAACTAGAACCCATTTCTGAGCCATCTGGAAAGGCACCCCGCCGAGACAGGATGGTAATTAAAAGAAAGTTGCAAGCCTCTTGATCACTCTGATGATGTGCAGGACCAAAGGAGCTCATCGAATCCTTCATTAGGCAAAGTTAAGATGCAACAA